GTTGGAAACCAGTTCTCCAGTAGAACAGCCCTATAATGAAGAGAATCAATGTTCCTGTTATCGTCATCGATGTAAACGTACTAGAATATTTAATTTGGAACGATTTACTGAAATTGTTTTGCCTTGTAACTGTCGTACATATGCCTCGGTGGTTTGGTCGAACAGTGTTAAAACAAGGGCTGAAGAAAACACGATGAAAGTAAACAATGCAATTAGAAATCATGACATATAACTAACTTCGGCAGTTCATATCCGGTTGAGCTCGGCCAATGTTTATTAAATAAAATAAACCGATGTCTGCAAACGTCAGATCGGCTTCGTCGCAAACAATTGTTCGACAGCAGTCATCAAGAGCAGCTAATAAGCCCGCTTTAGACGTTTCATCCAAGGTGGCATTGACGTTCTGGCCTGTTACAATCTGATCAGCTTTTCGAAATTTATTCTGTCGATGTGCAACTACCACCTTCAACATATTTCGTAGAATTTTTGTTAATTCAGATTTTCCATAAGCTAAAAAGATTTCTTTCACATATCGATGGCAACTGCTCGTAAAACTTACACGAACGTGCCACGATTAGATTAAATAAATTTGTGGAAATCATGTTGTCGCTACGGTTCGCACGAAGAACATACGAAAACTCCAACGTTGCTGCGACACAATTAATCAGAATAATGGCAAGAGAATCTGGATGAACTCCGTGGACGTCAGCCAAGTCCTTGACATATTGCTCGAGCGGAGAGGAGAAAACAATCCCTGGCCAGAACTTTAACTGACTTGCGTTGTCAATATTACGATTTATATAAGCCATTAGAACGTGATTTGGTGCAATATGCAAGATAAGTAATATTCTAGACGACTAAACGGCAGTCGCTTTTGAACTGATAGACTGACTGAAACTTTAAAACTTGGGTATTTTTCTTCCGAAAAATCTGATTGGATACAATATTATAATTCCTCCAATCAGACATTTTCGATCCTCTATTTTATGGAATTGTGAACTGTCGATAGATGAAACGTACATACCAACAATTCTCTCTTTCCGCCAGAGAATTAATTAACACGCTATAAATAAAGAAGAAAAACTATGAATTTCAACGGGCGCCACCATCGTTGTGTTTAACAAAAAGAAAAATTCTATCATAATTCTGCAGTCTCAAATGGTCACACCAAAGTTCTCTGGTTTCGTTAAATAGAGTGAACTCGTGATACTTGAACAGCATCAATACGATCAAAATTCTTTCATCGTCATCAGATTTCTATCATAATTCTGCCTAAAACATTCAACACTCGCTCACAATCTTGCATCATCAGTTACTAATGATAATGCTAACAAAGAAAGCAAAATTCTGCCGAAACATGGAAAATCCTATCAAACTTCTTACAGAATTCTGCTGGGGAAGCAAAATTCTAAGCAGAAATATAGTTTCTGACGGAGAGAGCTCTTGTATGAACCTCATACTTCTGCCGATAAGATAGAATTCTAGTGTAATTCTGTTGGAAAAGTAAAATTCTAAGCAGAAATATTGTTTCGGACCGAGAGACCTCTTGTATGAACCTCATACTTCTGCTGATAAGACAGAATTCTAGTGTAATTCTGTTGGAAAAGTAAAATTCTAAGCAGAAATATTGTTTCTGATCGAGAGAGCTCTCGTATGAACCTCATGATTCTGCTGATAAGACAGAATTCTAGTGTAATTGTGCTGGCGAGATAGAATTTTAAATAGAATTATGATATCGACTGAAAGAGGAGAGTGTAGCACTCACCGTATTTCTAATAGAAAGCAAAATTCTTAGCTGATTCTGGAGAAATTCTTTTTACAAGACAGATTTCGGAATAAATTCTTCATAGGAGTGAAGAAACTTTTATCATAGTTCTGAAATTCTGCTTGAGAAGAATTATGCCTGCCCTCATAGTTCCGCCAGATATAGAAGAAGCTCGAAAAAACATCTCAGATCCAATTCCAGCAACCGAGCCTATTTCGAATTTAAAACCAAACGTGATTGTCGACATTAAACAAGCTGATATTGAACTAGATGGATCGATAATATCTCCATTTAATGCTATGCGTCGAATCATTAATGCTGAAGACAATAAATCAACACAGCTTAATACCAATGGCAAACCAACATTCACACCGTTGCAACGTGCTTTTCAACGGAAAAGTAGCAACAAATTGGCTCGTTTAGCTGCATTGTGTGAAGCAATATCATATGCCATTAAATTATGCTCCGAATGCATTAATATAGTTCGATTTGGTGATGGTCTTTATTTAAAAGAACATATTGACGATGTACAAATTAATTGGTTAATGAAATTCCATGACAATGTAAAATTACTCATCGAACGAGACATTGCAATGGCGCCCAAGTTTGGAACAGATCAACGTCCATTAATTGTCGTTGAAAAACCAGCTGTTCATGCCTCAAATATACTTTATCAGTATGCTTCATCAACAATTACGGCTCTCTTTGATGGAACAGAAATGAATATCAATGAAGCAACAAATAATAATGGCAATCCGATCGATAGTATATCGCCTAACGGGTATGTCTTGATAAATTTTTGAGGATGCTGAGTAATGAGTCATAAATTCTAATATTGATCTAGTGTGTAGGATGCTTTTGTAATTATTTCTAAAACTGTCGTAGGATATATATAGTGAGGTGAATCTCTCTATGGTTTTAACTTTCTGTGAGTTTCTAGACTCGTACATTGACGTTCAGTGCTCTTCCGATGATGCTAGTCTAATTGTATTTTTAATACAAATATTTAATCAAAATTTTCTTTAGTGCTTTTTATGAACACCAAGCGATTTTGCTCAAAATGACATCACCAATTCTTGTGCGAGCTTGGTTCAACAATGAAATTACTGGCCTTCCATTCACGAAAACGTTTAACAATTATCGAAAATCAAAAGGCAAATTGCCAAAACTCAATCAAGCTATTAGTGAATTAGTTCAAAATGGTATTCTTAAAAAGGGTATTCAAAATACTCGACATATTGTTGGTGCTCGTAAAGAAACTTACTTAAAAACATCACCAGCTACGATTCGTAGTAATATCGACATGCTCAATTATCTTGCATCAATTGATATCGATATCGATACTTATGAACATGTGTATCTTTCATCACCATTACCAATGATCATGGAATTAACTACATTTGCAACTAATGCAATTCTATTCAACGATGATTATATTGAATACTGTCATTTATTCAATGATGCTCGTATAGAAAAAGAAATGGAAGAGCGATTGTCAAAACATATGGTTGAATCCCGAATGTTATTTGGCCGAAAGCAATATTATATACCATTGCTGTCTCAGATTGCTGAACAAGGTAAAGTTGAACTTTCTTCTAAATGAATAAAATCGTTACTTAATTAAATGGCTTTCTGATATATAGATAATTTGAATATTGGAAACAATCAACAAGATGATGATGCTGGTCATACTCCAACTAATAACGATGATAATAACAATGACAGTGATGATATTAATACTCGTAATAACAATGATCCACTATCAACTTTTGTTTTCGAACCACACCGACCAGTTAATAATTCAACACCAAATACGATTTCATCATTTTCTGAAAGCTCTTCTGCTTCATCTGAAATGTTGAATAAAAATACTACTACTGCACCACAATACAACAACTACATTCACCGAACAACCGAATCTGATGACCATCTTCCCAACGAATTTCTTTCATCAGTTGATGATATGATGAATAAATTAATAAACGTACTTGACTATAATCCAACGGACACTAATCAATCAGGTAAGTTTACAGGATTAACTTGAATCTTTTATAAACAACAAAATGTTGTTATAAACTTTCTAGGCTCAACACCGAATCAAATGGAAAATATTTTTGACAATCCAACGTCTCCATATCGAAATGAATCAAACGGAAATACACATAGACAAAATCAAAGTAAGATGGTAGTTTCATATTGGCTCGAACGAAAAGTTCTTTCCTCGTGTTTAGATCGATCAGTATTAGTCACTATGGAATTATCTAATAACAATAACATTAATGGTGGCATTCTTTTACCAATGGAGTCAACATCAACTGATATGTCTACATCATTAGAAAATATGAATTCTCAGCAAACATTGGAGTTACTTTCTGGCCTACTTCGAAATAAAAAGCATTTATTAAAACGAATCTTAGACGAAGACAAGGATGACATTAATCTGAAACGAGCAAGAAACAATGAAAATGAAGAAATAGCATCACCGTTTGTCAATATGAATTTGAGTGAATCGCTTTCGTCAACATCTGCTCAAACACAATCAAATAAAGCTCCCGGTAAGTTTTAATTGGTCAAATAATAAGAAATTCTAAAATAAATAACGCTATAATAATAAATATCGTCATGTCTTTTGAATCATGTTCATTTTCAATTCATAGTATTTTGTATTTAATCAATTGTTTATTCTTCTATAGGTGCCAATCAAATTATTGATGAAGATCTCAACGAAGCTTATCAAAAAATAATTTTAAATGATACTGTTGTCATGTCACGATCGGACATTTGCAACAAACTTAAACATATTAAAAACATATCAAAATTACGTGATAACATAATTTCGAACTTAGTTGCTGACGGATTATTGATCAAAGGTGATTGGTTCGGATCGAAAAACGTAAATGGTAGCATTGAACTTTTACCCGGATTTTTAAAAGCGTTTCCAAAAAACCAAGCACAAGGTCAAGTTGATTTTGCTCGTTTATTGGCTAAATACAAAGTACATTACAGTGATTATGAGCAATCATTCAAGAAAAATAAAACCGACACATTTCCACGAACACTTACTGCTGCTGATGTTAAGCACAAAACATGGCTATTTTCAAATGTATTTGTTGATGTTATTGAAAAAAATGGTTTCCTTTCCGAACGGTTAGTACTTGACCCATCAGCTATCGTTCAAGAAAACAATAGTACGTAAGGTTTTGTTTAGTAAAATTTTGAAACTTTTCTGTTTCTGTCTAGCTCCACTTATGCATACAAAACGTGATCGAAAGCCAAAAAAAGTTTATTCGCCATCGGACAACAAAAAATAAATTCTCTATTGATTATTCTAATTGTAGATTAAATGCTGATATTTTCTTTTACTAGGACAACAATCATGAATACGTTTTCTTTCTTTTATCATACTATATGAAACGCGTATTTCTATTGTGAGCTGATTTTTATGTAAAATCCTTTTACTTCTGTTTTCTCGATGTGATGTACATTAATGACTTGTTTTTATCATTAGGAATATTTGTAAAACGAAACTCTTAACTTTTATTTAATGTATCTTTTATCCTCGAACTTTTCTTCTTCTTTTTCATAGATGTATCGATGTGACTACATTTTTTGTTCGATGGAATTCCAAAAACTATGTGATAAATTTCTACTCAAGCATTGAAGTGCTGCATAAGTAAATAAAAATACAATGATATTTGATGAAAATTTAATTTGTTTATCTTATTGCGCTTATAACTTATTTTGATGAGAAGATACGTTTTAATCTAGAAATCAATTCAATATGTTTTGGCATCACAACAGACGTATCATTCATTTTGAGCTAAGGAACACGGAGCTCACTATGCAAGCGGAAACAACAATCTGATTAAAGTCATAGTCTCATAACAATATATTCGAAAATTAATCCGATTTTGCATTATTCTATCTAGATACACTACAATGAAATCTCAGATAGATATTAATAATTTCATAATGAATATGGTTTCAAAGTACTTGCATTGCATTTTTATGTAATTGTGAATCATCATCCGATAGACTTTCTATTAATAATCACTTATCTAATTCTCACATGAAAAACAATGAAGCCTATGCGGTGGATTCTTACATTAGCATCCAATAATCATGCATTCTAACGCATTTTAATGCATTCTAACGCATTTTAATGCATTCTGACGAAGCGACTCTTGTTCTATGTATTTTTATATCGCCTACTACAAATATTTTATCATTTGTTTGTCAAAAGTGACCCTTGAGACTTAATTACGAAATGATTGTTTGCCTAATCATGTATTCATTATCATGAGCACATATAAAACGAGTACATAGATCTTTATTGGGGATATGTAACTAATAGACTAGTATTTGTTTTCATTCTACACGAAAGTAAAGTATGTTAATATTCAACATGTAGTTTAATTCTACTCATTGAAGTGTAAAAATGTTTATTATGTTTTAAAACAATAACTTCTTTGTCGCTGAAATCCTTCTGACATGTCTGAATGAACTCGCCTAATAACTCAAAAGCCTTTTCATACGGCCACTACATTGATTATTTCCAGACAAAAAAGCGATTAGTTCTTCAGGAAGAAAAAAAAAGGAAAAAAGGAATGTGTAATGTCTAACGCATTTAGATAGTGAATACTTGAAATTAAAGAATATGTTGAAACCTACTGAATATCTGAAAAGATACACCGCTCTCATATTGATAATAACATATCAAAACTCATCTACATAACACAAATTACATACTCAATTCCATCATCTTTATTTTTAGCATTACATAAAGGTAAATATAGATTTAAATAAGGAGTCATTTTTTTCATCAAGGTCAATCGTTTCATAGTACTATAGTGAATGCGATCCTGTTTGAAATAATATTTGTCTAATTGCGACAGTTACAAGTGCAACTAAAATGCATGTCTAATAGATTAGTAATCTTTTTTTCGAAGAACTTTTCATGATAAACTTTTAATACTTACTTAAATTGGTATATCAATTTAGATGCCAAATGGTGATGATATGCTGGAAGCACTTCGCTCTTCCATCGGTTTAGTATCTTTAGTTTATATTTGTCGACTATATATGAAATTATCAACTTTCCCATCAATAATCTTACCATCTGCTGCTCGAACACACCTCATAAAACAAGCCGTAAATGATCGTTATAACAACATTCATACAACGGAAGATATCCTGATGGTGACAAATATGATAGAAATGAATAAAGATTTTATGAATCGAGTATTGTTATTATCAGATTTTGAGAGAAATAGCATCACACTCGATATAAATCATATTACAATGGATGTTATTAATGATATGATCTTACTTCCATTTACCAACACTTGTGTTGATTGCACAAAATCTCTTACTTCTTACCGATACAAATTAGTCCATATTATTGACTGTTTTAAAATTACTCGAGCGGTAGCTGTAACTGCGGAGTGTAAAACGTGTACATTAATTTATAATCATTCTTCATGGTATTCATTAAAATTTCGATGGCGAAAAATCAATAATTCATCATTAGATAGCGTACTTAAGATATTTTATTTATGCGATTCATTTGGATTTACATACTCGGTTTTCTTCGATTATACATGCCAACTTTTACATGACCAGTGTCCATTCCAATCTTTTTCTCGAATATTGATTGATAGATACAATTATGAACATCAAAATAACAATATTATTCTACAGCCTACTCCATTAGCAAAATTATTTCAATCTCATTGGTTATTATACCAAATTGTACGCTTTGAATTTATGCTAGGAAAGACACAGATAGTGAATTTACCTGTTTCCCTTAATCGAAATGAACTCAATTACCATTTTGAATGTTATTCTGACTGGTGGCATCATTTATTTACTACATTTTGGTCAAGACATAAGTCAATTCCAAATATCAAGTGTTCTCCATCGGATTGTAGTCGGTGTGTCATTGTCGATGGTCATCAAAAATGTCGACGTTTAGTATGTAGTTTTAAAAACGTTGTCGATACTTCCATTGATGAGCTGACTGCAATTGAAATCGGATGCCCTTATACACCTTGTCGAAGAACAGAAGTTTCTAATTCAGGTAAATGTAAAATTAAACATTTATTGTTGTATTAAAGAATTATTAATTATTGATCATATTACTTCAGTCGATGCAATATATTGTCGATATCATCAACCATCAGTTCTTGTGTCACCTTCTGTCCATTTAGACAAAGCTGGTCATATGGCTGCCGAATTCTCGGTATGAATACCACACTAAGCGAATAGCATAGAAGTTTAATGCATAGTTTTGATCCTTCTTAAAATAGCATTTAATTCTAGTTTAATTTATCGTTTCGATTAATTGTAATTTCTTTTGTTATTTTAGAAGCGGGATAGAGATTTTCTTTCCGAACATAAAAGTCATTGTCAGAATTATCGTAATGATAGTGAAGAAATTAAAAAAAATAAGACATATGGCATTTTAGCATCTTACCATCCATGTGGGATTGCAATTGGCTTTACCGAAGCAATTAAAGCTGAAGGTATGTTGACTTGAAAATCATTGTAAATCCTTCATAGGATTTCATGGGATAGTAATTTTATGTAGTATATACATTTTGAAGATCAATTTTTAGTTATTCACTAAAGGCTTTGAACAAATTCTTATTTACAACTTTTTGATGAACAAAGTTTTGTTTATGATGCTTTGCTAGGAATGCGATCAGTGACTCGTCATCTTTTACTTATGATTATTGGTGGGTGTCTTATGCCAGATGCACTCATGTATGATTGCGCCTGTGCTTTAAAACTTCATTGGAATAAATGGCTAGGTACAGATATGCTCAAGTCGTCGTCGTTAACACAACAGCTGCCATTTCATCTTGCTCTGGATAACTTTCATCAAAAAACACATTCGAGATCAATGTGCCAAACCATTATGAAATCCGATCATCCATCACATGAAGGACGATTTATTGGTCTAAATAGTCAAGCAGCCGAACAAGCATTTCAATATATATCCCGAGCCAAATTTGCATTACGAAATTTTTCATTTCCACATTCGACAATAATGTTATTGATTATGCTCCACCTCCTGAACTGCAAAATGACCGGCATCAACTTAGAAACAATTGGTTTAGGATTTCGGTATTTTGGCGATATAATCAAAGACTTTTTTCCTACACCATGTGTATATGAACGTTTTGGCTCGCTAAACGATGAAGAACTGAAAAAGGATGAAGATGATGATCAATCGGATCTTGATCACAATGTTACATCTGAAGATATGCCATAGATTAGCTTACATTACCTTCCAACATTCAATGCTCGTTTCATCATCTGAAGATTGTACATTTATTGTAACTATAGTTTCATACACATACTGCTCTTCTCTTGTGTTGATTCTATATTTGTTATCCAAAAATTGAAAATAAATACTCATTTTGAAAAAATTTGTTGTATTGCTGATAAATTCATTTAATGCATTATAATGCATTATCATAAAAAATGTTTTATAGATAGTGGTTAATCATATTCTAATACTTGATTATCTACTAACGTATTTATCACACGCTTCATTGATTATATATTTTGATGATTGATAATATTTTTGGATTGTTAAAGAGGTCAAATATAAACATTCATCACAAATCTGATTTTCTTCTGTCAAAAATGAGCTTAAATAGAAAAACGATCAACACATAATAAAAGCCATAGCCGACTGTGAGTAAAAGAAGTAATTAATTGAATGATTTGCAACATATTTAAGCACTGCTAGTTTCTGAAATAGTAGGTCTATTTCTTTTCAAATGAAAACGAGTGACAATCATTATTCAATGCTAAGTTTGCCCAGTACCTATTGTACAGCTATAGTATGAAAGGACTAATTTCTATTTGTATACACAATATATTTTTAATTATTTTAAAATGCTACCTAAATGAAAGAAACAAACTTTTGTTCAAAAACAGCAAGGTAAAGCAAGCTCATCATCATATACTCATGATGACGACGATATTGATAATAATAGCATTGATATTACTCCACCACCATTGTCGAATAGTTTTGCCGTCGAGATTTTATTAGATATGAACAAAATACTAAGAAATGAAAAATCAATATTAAAAATGTGAAATTGAAAGTCTAACAGCAACATTGATGAAAAGGTAGGAGAATAGAAAAATTATTATTTTTTATTTTCTGACATGACTTTCAAATCGAACAGCAACTGATACTGAAAACTGTGTTCTTCCTATAGATGAGGTTGCACTGGATGAACTAAATTATGGCATGCTGAAAAAAAACGAAAAACAATTTTTAAAACACAATATTAAAAATAAAGGGAAATGATGAGCAATATGCTAGGCTTTAAAAGTAAAAATTTCATTAAAAGAAGGTATACAAGATTTTCATTCTAATCGATCTTCTTAATTTTAATCAATTCAAATTGAAATTCAAAGGAAGTCAAGAAATTGATTTTCGTTAATTGAAAAGCAGGGTAATAGGATTTAACGCACTGAACCTTATACAATTAACAGATTGTAATCGAGTTGTGAAGTTGTAATCAAGACTCGCAGATACTTGAAATAAAAATAAGTTCCCATCAATTTTAAACGATTTTTAAACTGAAAAATGAATGAAAGCAGATGAGAATCATCGCACTCCTATTGATTATTCATCAGAACAAATCAGTTGAGAACAATTTGTAATTTTTTATATTAAAGAATGACCGAAAATGTTTTCTCCTTATCGTTTCTGATAACTTTTCTTATAACATCTTTCTAATATTTGTCAATCTTTTAGAAGAACATGAAGAACAACAAGAACAGGTCCAAAAGCGACAAGAAAGTAAAAAAAAGAATCAAGAACGACTTCAAAAAAAAGAAAAACGAAATTACAGAAACTTTCTAAAATCTTGACTTTATCATATATGAGATTAAGAAAGTATAAAAAGGAACGCATTCCAATGATGTGTAGAAACGTTTTTAAAAAACCTATCCATCACGCATTCGACAAGCACAAAAACATATTACTCAGATATGTCCAATCAAACATGATGCTATTCGTTGTGAGCGTTTTCTTGCTATTAGCGAAGTCTTACAAAAAGAAATTGTTTGCTTGTTTGCTGCTATGTTCGCATTTCATTGAATGTTCGACGAACAAGTTAAAAATAGAGATAATTATTCTATATAAAACTTTAATTAATAACGATTAGGGTTGAAAATCATGGATCTGATATTAATTCTTTAAAAATCTTTTTTTAAAGGAATAGATGAATTTTTTAGAAAATGAATATTTGTACAAGACTTAACTTAAGCATAATCGAGGACGAAGAATAAGAATTGAAAATAACATTTTCAATGTTCGATAAATAAATCACTAATAAAACTGTGTGTATCACGGTTACCACGAGAAAGAGCTAGATGAGTCCTCAAAAGAATGTTACTCAATCGAATTTGGAGTTTAGTTTCATGCGACAGTTTTGTTCTCTTTCTGAGGACTCATCAGATCGTTTTTTAAGAAATCTATATTATTGTTCGATGACGAAAAATGTAAGGTTTATCATGGAGTATTTGACAACATTCACAGATTAACTAGACAGTATAAAGGAGATTTTAAGAAATAACACGCACCGACATACTTGAGACCTTTCCTACATGTTCGTTTTGAATTGATCGTGCAGGTATTACGCAAAATGGTCATCTTTCGTCAAAGAACATAGATAGAATCTTCAAACACGTGTATGAAACGCTTTCGTTGAAATCAACATGAAGCTATGGCTTAACCATATTCTACTACGAAAGCAAATAATCTCATTTTTACTGCTCTATACGAGGATAAAGGTATAGCGATACCCATATACTACAGAAATATCAACTTTTTCTTTCACGTAACTAAAGTTTAATATCCAAAGCTAAAATGCGTTCATAATCGCTATCACAATGATTTGTAACACGCACAGAAAATATTTGAATTACATATAATAAATCCTAACATGTTTAGCGTGTTCAACGTTCAATAAGTCGCAAATAACAAAGTCGACGAAAAATGTAACGCTTGGATCATGGATATAAAATCTACGACAGAGGCGCTTTTATTCGATAGATATTTAGTTATTATATTCCTTGTAGCTCGAGTGAACATAATTTTTGAAAATGGCACTTATATGTGCCATTAGAACAGAAAGTTATTAGCTTCGCTACACAATTGGTTAGACTTATTTATTTAGAGAATTTATCACTACTATAAGTGTTTATTGAAAGAATTATCCTGGTTCTTTTCATAGAAATCATCGTCCGAATGCTATCAGTTTTATCTCACCATGTATACTATTTGTAAAAACCAACATTAAATTTATGATGTTTGATTACGACTACTTGTAGATCAAGCCATATAAGATGATGGCTTTTTAAGAATGGATTAGTTCCCTAGAAGGTTGATCGTGAAAGATATTTTCTAAAACTAATATGAAATTCATGGCCCTAAATATGATTATCCACAGGAAAAATTTTCAGTTACAAAAGCTCGTTGAGTTTCGTTTTATTTTATTTTTAATGAAACAGTGTGCCGTGGACACCCTCAGTCTTAATTAAGCTAGCAATTTATATTTGTACGACTCTTCCCTGTGAGAACTAGAATAAATAGTATTCTCTTTTTTCATAAAACAGAATAAATTCAAAGCGATTCTTGTTTATACTTTGCTCAAACGTTCTTATAACACAACATTTTTTGTTATAAAAATTGAATGAATGAGAATTTCGTTGAAAATTTCTTTTTATAATATGCTGATACAGAGCGTCCTTGTTCGACGAGTTATCTAATAATGATTCATAGTTCTCATTAGTAAGTAGTTGTCAATTGTCAATGAATTTAATGTTTTCTGCTGCCACTGCGTGCGATTAGTAGCAAAAAGACTGCCGGTAATAGTAGAATATATACATCGGTGATATTCATTGAAATTTTTATCACTCAGCATCGAATTCATTATTTTGAATTCAAAAGTTTCTAATTCATTTCCAAAGTTGTTATTTTTCAGTATTTCTCGCTGGAATTATATAATCATAGCGACATAAATCAACTCCACTTCCTAAGTAACGAAAACTACTTATTCATATGATTTCAGAGACTTTACTGATCTTGTCGTTCGTTTTATATGAGTATAATGTTTAATCTAATACTGTCAACAAAGTGCCATTAGGATGGAACATGTAATATAATCGAAAACCACCAGCAATCATTCCAATGCGCTGATGATGTAGATGATATAAACGCATTGGTGACACATAAACAGTGAGTTAGAAGTTTAGATAATTTTTGTTTGAATTTATCCTTGCTATAAATTGCAAACGTGATTGATAACCATTAACAATTAGTTACAAATCGCAGGTATGAATATGAGTCTTCTAGTTTTGCTACCGCTTCTTCTTCACAATCAGTCATTATAGAATTTCGCACATTATAAAACGAAACTTCTAAATGAATTTTGTTTGTACTTGAATTAAATCATTTAAAGCACTACAAGACTGCCACATATTAAATTTTTTCGTGGATAACTAGTCTTCTAATCCATCTTCAAGACAAATATGTGCAACATCTCTTTTCAAACGTATTGATTGCTGAAGAGTTTGTTTAAGATGTTTGAAAAGATAAATTAATAATCTACTGACCGATTCATTCCAATCCAGAACTCCATGATCATCGTAACGTACTTAGCTTGACAACTCCCATTCATTCCGAAAATGAAATATATCAAGATAATTTCCGAAACTGCCGTAAGCTTCTCATATATTCACGTTAATCAGTAATAGAGCGAATCTGGTCGAGATTAAATCAGTACAGCAGTCAGAATCACACCTATGAAATATCAAACACGTTCATTAACCCTCATTAGACTCGCTTATGCTCATTATGACTCACCTTCGAACAATTCCAATTGTCGCTGTTATGTATTTCCACAAATACCAATTTTCTTATACCCGTACTTTCTGTATCTGTTGAAAAAGAATTTCCTGGAGAACGCTATACCGCCTATACCGCTTATACCGCCTATACCGCCTATACCGCCCTATACCGCTTATACCGCCTATACCGCTTATACCGCCTATACCGCCTATACCGCCTATACCGCTTATACCGCCTATACCCCCTATACCGCCTATACCGCTTATACCGCACTATACCGCCCTATAGGGAAGGTATATCTAAAGCTCATTTAATCTTCTTTGGAAATCTTGTAAAAATCAGTTTCCCGGAAAACGCTATAACGCATCAAATCCGATTGTCGAATGTCTCTGATATTCTAGAGACTAAATTAGGTGAAGGATTGCTGTATTTTGAAATATAGTTTAATAGAAGGTATTAGACTGGATGGTATTATTGATTAGTTTACTATTAAATATTGCTTGGATATTTTACTGCAATTTCTTGCCGATAGATAATGCATAGTACACTTTGATTATTTGAGATAAATATTATTATTTTCTCCACCAACAATTAATATTTTCCCATTAGATAATATAGATGCTGTATGTTAATATCACCATTAAATCCACTAGCAGCTTACACTTTTCCATTTGATAAGATATATGCTGTATGTCCCTTTCGTGCAACATTCATATTTCCTACTGTTGTCCAAGTATTTGTCGATGGATTATACAATTCAGCGCTTTTTAAATAACTATCATTATATCCACCAGTAACTAGTATATTCCCATTTGATAATGTAGATGCTGCATGTTCCGTTCGTTCGATAATCATATGTGCTATCGTTGTCCATTCTAAATTTGGTGAAAAAAATGAGAAAATAATCAGAATTGAATAGGTTTTTGTTAACTATTTCTGTATCGAACACTTTCTACAAGCCCGTTTTTTAGGAACATGATGTTTGTTGAGAAGAATAGCTGAAATAAGATGAATTCGAAATTGAATGAACACTCATTCGACATCTACAGAGTTTTATGTTTATATTCGGGTGATTCCTTGGGACTTGTGACACGTTTACACCGACCCTCACCAAATCGCTTGAAACTTTCAGGACTCATATAATAATCAATTATAAGACTTTTTTGCTCTTGGACGAAAGTTACACGACGTCTTGTTCAAGAGCTGTAGCCCATTCACTAAGTACCCTTCGGAACGGATTTTTAAAGTACCTTTTTCTTTCCAACACGCATTGTTTTGCAACACTTTGTACTATCGAAATTCTGACGATATATTCGAATTTCTCATGATCAGAGCTATCAGAATCACTCCTTTCCATAAGTTTTTGGATTTGTCTCAGAACCACGGGGCTGTGGAAACCCTTTTCAACCGCCGAGTATTCCAAGCTCAAAATCTCCATAAGTAGAGAACTCTGGATTTCGCGGAACATTTCATTTGATAGAGCATCAAAACATCTATCGAAACCATGTGTGCGCCGTAGCGAGGGAGTAAGGTTTCACCGAGATACGGTCTCCAGAAAACTTATATGGGTTTTTGAAAAATTAAAACTTTCTTTTGGTGAAATTGGACAAAGTATACGTGAAAGAACTTTGTTTTATAGATGATGCCGTAATAGTGCTTCAAAAATTCCTTGTGCCTATCAAGATTCCTTAAAGAGCTCTGAAGGACTATCTTAGATCTATGCAATTTTTCATTGATACATCTGTTAATAGATCAGTACTACAATGTTCATATTTTTATAATAAGAAAAGCCTGGTTTTGCAAGCATGAGAAGAAGAAAAAAACCGCGAAAGAACAAGTTAAAGAGCAAATGTTTTTGAATCTAAGCTACTGAATATTATCCCTTATCCGCCTACCTGGGGCCACACGGACCCCAGGTAGTTCGATTCTAATTTTGTGTGTATACAACTATAGATCATATCACATCTTTCTAGATACGCTCTAGTGTACACTAGTACAACATACCATTGTTATCAGTTGCTTCTTCTCATTAATCATTTAGGAGATAAATTATCTAAAAGTATGTATACCCTCTTTTTACCCACCTGGGGTCCTCTCGAACCCCATGATATATTTTTAGTTTTTGCTTTCTATTTGAGTATGCATTTTTATTTTCGTATTCTATACCATTTTCGGACTGCTGTTAAAGTACTATGAGACTGACAAATAAATTGAAAAACATGCCAATGGTTATAGGACCTTGTGTTTTGTGGGTCTGAAAATTCGTACAGATTTTGCCTTTTTATCTGGGAATTCCATCTGTTATATAGGTAGTTAGCTATTTCCATCGAAATATTCTTTTGCATAGTGATCTAATAAACACATTGTTTCTTTCTTTCTGTTATCGATATGATGTCATGGTATATACGTGTTCTATCTATATCTTATTTTGCTCTATGATCGTGTATGAGTCTATATATCATGATGCTTCTTCGTTGGAGTAATTTGATATTCTTTTTCGTTCTCTCTGTATAGACGACGTGCACTCGCTTCTGAATCTTTTGATAATTCGTTTTTCTTCGCAAAAAATCTAAACATATAGCTGCCATTCGAAATAGTAAAATCACTCTATACCACGTCACTTATGACTATTATCAAAAGACATGGCTCCGAAAAGATGTTCCACCTTCCATCAATCAAAAGTTTTGCAAAAAAGCCTCAAAATATTTCGGTGAAGAATCCAGTGATGAAGAACCCAACATTGAAGATACTAACCGAAATAGTGAATCTAAAGATGAAAAAATACCTTCTACTCTTCAAGATAGTTCTGATGTATCAGACGATAGTGTAGTTGATGAAGATTCAGATGACAAATCCGCGGAAAATACTGTCGAAACTGATGATATTAGTGATGAGGAACCACCGCGACGTCGAGCGAAACGTAGACCACCCGTCGAACCAATACCAGTTAAAATATTTACTGCAAAATCTGGTCGTCAGTGATTATCGAAAGAACCTCCACGAAGAAAAATTCCTGCAGCTAATATATTACGACAGAATAGCGGTGTTGGCCGAGCAACAGCTGGCATACAAACTTTGAAAGAAGCATTTCAACTTATGATTACTAAAGACATGGTTCTTCTTTTAGTAAATGAAACCAACCGACGTGCACAACTGGTTTTAGAACGATGGAATAAAGAAAATCCAGACAAAAAAAGCCAATGGAGGGATACAGATCTTGATGAAATGTGGGCTTTCATTGGATTATTGCTCCTTGGTGGTGTTCATCGTGCAAAAAATGAAACTCTAGATGAACTTTGGTCAATGACAAATGGCCGACCAATCTTTCGAGCAACTATGAGCAAAAATCGTTTCAAAAGCTTACTACAGATTTGCCGATTCAACAATAAAATAAATCGTGAAGACAGATTGAAAACAGATAAGTTGGCGGCAAAAAGAGACCTTTGGACAATGTTCTCGGTCCGCCTGCCAATATGCTACACGCCTGGCGGATCACTCACTGTGGATGAACAGCTAATTCCAACTCGTGGCCGATGTAGTTTTCGACAATATATGCGTAACAAACCTGGGAAATATAAGTTGAAGATCTTCTGGTGTTGTGATGCAGATTCAGCATATCCATCGAATGCTGAAGTTTATTGGGGACGTCAATCTGGAGCAACAGCTGCTGCTAAAGATGGAAATAAAATTCGTAGCCTAGTGAATCGATTGGTAAATCCTTGGATCAATACAGGACGAACAATAACTACGGATAATTATTCCACCAGTGCAGAGCTGGTAGTAGATCTTCTAGGTGTTCAAACAACTTTAGTTCGAACTATTCGATGAAATAAGAAGGAAGTTCCACAAGAACTACAACCAGATACTCATCGTCCTCAACAAACATCGATATTTTGTTTTGACCGGCAGCTGACTTTAGTCAGCTATGTGCCCAAGAAGGGACATGCTGTGATTTTATTGTCATCTCTTCATCATGATCGGTCAGTTGTAGATGAAGAAAAGAAGAAACCAGAAATTATTATATATTACAACAACACAAAAGGTGGTGTCGATCGTATGGATGAAATGGTCCAAACATATTCTTGCAAACGAAAGACAAAACGATGGCCAATGGTTTTCTTCTTTAACATCATTGATGTTGGTGCTGTTGCTGCTTTCACTGTTTGGATAGTTAAAAACACTCAATGGAACGCGAAGAAAAGGTATCGTCGACGTTTATTTCGTATGGATTTAGGATATGATCTCATTCAACCTCATTTAGAGAAAAGACAACTTCAATCACAAGCACTTCAAAAATATGTTCGAATAGGTATGCAAGCTATTGGAATAAAAACTGTTGCTGTTCCTCAGACAAACACAACCACAGCAACCACTACAAAGCAACGTTATCGCTTTTGTCCGAGAGAACGCGACCGCAAAATAGCAACTCATTGCTCAACTTGTAACACAGCATGTTGTCCTGATCATCATAAAATTATTTGCACTATGTGTAGCGAAAGATTTTTAGCATAAAAAACGTTGTTAGAAAATGTTTAAGAAATAAAAGATAAGATATCATATAATACCCAAATCATATACTACATAGTACTAACACAATATACTATTCACAACCTCTATTGTATCTATCTTATTGACTTGGGGTCCGTACGGACCCCAGGTGGGCAACAAGTGGTAGTCCTACAGGTGGACGAATAAGAGTTAATCAATAATTTATATATTTTATTAATTAGAATTATCAATTTAAATGAAATTTATTTCTATTCAATAAAAAATTTAAAATATTTATCAAAATTTCAATTAAAAATTTTCTAAAATAAAAATAAAAATTCTTAAAAAATGATTTTAATTCCCTCGACTGAAAGGAGGGTCATGTCGAAAAAAAGTGGTCAAAAAACGGAAATTCGTTTGTGTGTGTGTGTGTGTGTCTGTCGCAGGTCAAAGGCCAAAGGTCAAAAAAACATTTTTTCCAAAAATGCTCAAAACTTCATAAAACATGGTTTGGGAGGGTGTTTTGACACTGAAAGTTGGTTGAGAGGGTGAGGATATGTGAGATAGGGTCAATGTTAAACGTACGTTGAGCCCTGAGGTCAACGGCCCATAAGAGAATTTCATTATGAGTGGAACAAAGATTAGGTAAAAGTTTTTCATAACTCCAAATGTGCAAGGAAATGTATCATACATCNTGACAGCTTTTTGTTCGGTAAGTATTTGTCAGTGCACAATCGAATTATTTTCTTTGTCAAACACTGCGAAGCTAAGTAGATAAAATACCGCCTGTACCGCTTATACCGCCTATACCGCTTATACCGCCCTATATGGAAGGTATATCTAAAGCTCATTTAATCCTCTTTGGAAATCTTGTAAAAATCAGTTTCCCGGAAAACGCTATAACGCATCAAATCCCACCAGCAACCAATTCACCAATAGTTGCATTTAATTTCCATGATACAATACGATGATTCGATGTATCAGCAATATATACAGTTTGATCATTATCAATGTATAAACCATATGGTTTAGAAAGTTGATCGAGTCTATTGTTTCGACCATTTCCTCCAGCTACAATAGAACCATTCTGTTGCCATCGAGCAGTAGGATATATTTCAGTAGGAGTACCACGTATTGGAGCTTAAATGAAACAAAAAAATTGAGATTTACTTTTTCCTTGCTCATTTTAAATATACTTTGTAAAAATTCTGATTCAATATCATAATCAATGAACATTTCCATATCTTTACACCAACTCTTATTCATTTGTGTTTTATTCGAATAGATATTGAATTCCACTAGAATTTCAAGTATATGCATTTCATTATGTAATCTCATGGTAATATTTTCTTCAATAAAACCTATATTGAAACAAAAAAGAAAACGTAAACAAGATTATTAGTAAATTTAAACTTACTCAAGTTGCGTTGATTAATAATTTTTCCATTTTTACTGATTCCACTTAACTGAATTGATACACCATTTGTCATCTGTATAAACAATATTGCTTGAGAATATGGCCATAAATGAGAATCCCAAACTTGAGATAAATTGATATGTTGTAACATCAAAGCCTTATTATCAAATGATTGTAAGATAAAAACGCAATTATTATCAATATTTGATATCATTCTAACGATTTTTCCCGTGATCAGTTTCCATTTGCCAAGAAGAGAACTATTACACGTAGCAGGACCATTATCAATCAAATTCAAATCACGACCAAGTGTTTCATCAGGTAATTGAGCGTTCTGAATGGACAGAGCACTTCGCAATTGACTTTTTGTGATATTTGTCTTGGTAAAATTCGCTTTTTGTAGATTGGCACGATTAAAATCAACCGCATCTAAATTACTTCGATAGAATTGAGTATCTTTTGCATTAGCATGTCGAAAAATAGACATTGATAAATGTGTCTTATCAAAATTGACAATCATTCGACGGGTTCCTACAAAATTCGTATAGGGCATCCAAGCACTGGAAAATTCACCAGATCTAAAAATATACATAGGAAGTGAATGTAAAAAAGAGAGGTTGTCATCTTAATTACTTAATGTAGCAGACGAGAAGGAAACTCTGGAGAGTACAGCGTCTGTAAAATCAATGTTTCGAAGGATTGTTGATGTAAAATTAACATTAACAATTCGAGTTGATGAGAATTGAACATGACTAAGTTCAGCAAATGAAAAATTAACACTATCGAGTTGAGCAGATGAAAAATTAATATAACTAAGCTTTGAAAATGAAAAGTCAACTTTGTAGAGATTGACAAATTGAAAACTAACATTGTAAAGTTGAGATGAAGAAACATCAACATTATCGAACTTAGCTAATGAAAAATTAGTATTTTGCAGTTTAGTAAAACGAAAATCGACATTTTGAAATGTACTAGCATAAAAATTGACATTGATGAGTCTTGCAAATCCTTTATTAATATCGACGAGCCGAGAACATGTAGTATATCCATTATAAGAGGAAAGAGAGAAGAATTTAACATTGTTTAGTTGAGTAGATGAAAAATCTACATCTTTTAATGTTGTAGAAATAAATTCAATATATCGAAGTTCAGCAAAT